GGAGAAATGGTAACAACTGGAAATGGGTGTGGGGTTTCTTTGTGGGGTAAGAAATACTCTAAAATTATATTGTGGTAATAGTTTTACAACTCTGTGAATATACTGAAAACCTTTTAATTTTACATCTTAAGTAAGTGAACCTTGCGATACGTAAATTATGTCAATAAAGTTATCTAAGAAAAGTAAAATTAGCTTTATGTAGAATATGCTTTGAAAACATATTTGGGGGCTGGGCGTGGTTGTACAGGCCTGTGATCCCTGCTACTTGGGAGTTGGAGGTAGGTGGATCAGGGTCTGCAGCCAGCCCAGGGGAGAACCTATGTGAAAAACAAACAAAACACAAATAACTGGTTCAAGTGGTAGAGCACAAACACGAGGCCATGAGTTCAATCCCTAGCACTGCAAAAAAACAACAACAATTGAAAGGAGGGAGAAAGAAAGAAAAGTTGAGGATGAAGATGAGGAGTGGAGAAGAATTTGACTCACAAACCTACACAACACTGTATCTGTAAATGCAATCCCAATCCTGACCCAGGCCCAAGGGCTGATAGCTCTGGCTCCCTGATTCAGCACCTAGTGGCTCATATTGAAGTTAGCTCTTCCTCTTTTTCATACCAGAGTGTTAGCTCATCAGGGACAAAGGATGTATTATAAGGCCTTCTCCTTCACCTCAGCATTCTTTAGATCTTAGAACAGGTCTTGCTACAAAATCAACCACCTATGAATGGTTTGGTTGGTTGGTTGGTTGGGGTTTTTTTGTTTATTTGAGCTTAAAACATAGGTATTTATTTTTCACATTTCTGGAGGCTAAAAGGCCCAAAATCAAAATCTTGGCAGAGCCATGCTTTTATCTCAAGCCTCTTCATAGCTGGAGAGGGTTGCCCACAGTTCTTTTTGCTTTTCGGCTTATAGCCACATCTCTGCCATCTGGAGTTCCACCATCATATAGCATTCTCCCCATATTTCTCTTTGTGAATTGTGGGTTCCCTGGTCCACAATCCAGAACTCCCTTTATCTCTAGAGATCTGGGTGTTCCTTGGTGGTGGGGGGGTGCACTGTTGAGTGCAGAGCCAGAGATTCTTTTTCCACTCAAAATTCCAAGAGTCATAAAAAAATCAGGCCTATAATCCTTCTGATTAGGGTTGACATGAAATCCCAGGGTCCACTTATACTACAGTTATAAGAGAAACCATAGAGTTGGGCTATGGTATCATGGAGTCCCAGTCCTGCACCTTTTTTTCCAGTCATCTCCTCCCTCACCATAGCCCAACAGACCCTTTATTTGTAATACTGGGGATCAAACCAAGGTCATCATGAATGCTAGGCAAGCACTTTACCAGTGAGCACACCTGCAGCCCATCCGATACACATTCTTTGATGGCTGAATAGAGACAGTGAGGATGAAATGAATACCCCCATAAGAAGGAAAGAAATATTATAAACCTAAAGGCTGAAAAAACCCTATTATGGAAAATGCAGGCCATCATTCTTGAGGACTTTCAGATGATTGAAGGCTAGGGACAGATTGAAGGCCAAGGACAGATAAATTTAAAGTCTTTGCTACATTAGGTCATCAAAGAACATTCAATTAAAATGAATTCTGAGGCCCCAATCAGTTATGGCTCAAGGCTTTGAAGTAAACAGAAAGGCACTTTGGTGCTACAAAGCAAATGTACATGAAAGGCTTCTGCCACAGGGGGCATGATCTATTATAATTGTTAGTTCAACATATCACTTGCATCAATGCTACATAACTCTGTGTCCTCCAATTCTGACACTAAACAAAGTCCTTGATCGTCTTCATGTTGAGTTCCATAGAACTACAACAAGCTCTCATCATCCCTTCACCACATATTAACCTAGCCTACACCTTGAGCCACTCCACCAGCCCTATTTTTGTGTTGTGTTTTTTCAAGATAGGGTGTCTCAAACTATTTGCCTGGGCTGGCTTCAAACCTCAATCCTCCTGATCTCTGCCTCCTGAATAACTAGGATTACAGGCACAAGTCTCCAGCACCTGGCCTGAAAGCAATCTTGTAACATATATAACTAGATAGTTATTACTAGCTGGCTTTCTTTAAATGATGCTCTTCATCTAGGAATCTAGAACTCTTTGGGAGGAACAAAAATTGAGCCTTGAAATACACTGAAAACACACATATAACTCATGCTTATGTCTCCCCACATATAACTTCCTGATTGAAGCTGCCACTATTGCTAATTTCTAGATTTTTGCAAGATGGTAGCAGCATCTCAAAGGACACTAAGAGAACAAAGACAATGGGCTAAAGTGGATTTCCATTGAGATGTATTTACTGCAAAAGATCAATTTCACATTGCACTAGGGATTAATAACTTTCTAGTTTAATTTCACAAAGCATAGTTTGTACAAACTGAGCAAGGTCTTGTTGATACACCAAGAGTCATTATCACACTGTGGCCTTAAAGCTGGTTTATCTTCCCTTGCCAAGGAAAAGAACAAGCGTATTTAGATAAGAGGTGTGACTGACAAATAATTGAATGGCATCCAACCTTTGGGGAGCAGGGATCATGGAGAAAGAGTGAATAATCATGTAGCAAGAGTTCAAGGTGATGAGGCTGAATCTGAGGCCACACAGCACATAAAGCTTCATTCTGCCTTGAGGAATGAAGGGACTAGAACCCAGCCTTTTCAACTGCCTGCTATCAATTTAACTGGTGAGAGCTTTATATTTTCTTTCAGATACTCTTGGGACTAGTGGGAACATGGATTTTTGCAAAAAAAAAAAAATGGAGTAGAGTGAACACAAGAAGTTTGGGGGACTTTGTAGTCATTTGACCTCTCTTTTCAGCCCACAGCAGAGTCTCCCTATCATCACACTTGCTCCCTGCTGGGTTCTGCTTTCTGCATTGGCCATGACTGTGTATATTGTTTTTTGCTCTCGTAGCACCTACACTTTTATTTTACCTCCTACATGATGTTGTAAGGTCAGAACCAAGGCTACATACAATTTCCAGTGTCAGGGCAGGGGTGGTTACAGAGGAATCTTAGTTCAGAATTTCTGAGAATCTGATGGGAGTGGGTTGTGCTTCAGCCCCTATGGCAATCTTGGTGCTAACAGTGAGTGCAGTTCTATTGCTTGGTGGTCTAAACAGCCACTGCTTCCTCACCTATGTAGCCTACCCAACTTGAAGAAGAGTGGACTGGACAGAGGTGATCTAGTATTGCTGACTACAGTCTAAATGAACACAATCATGGAGCCTAATGTCCATTGCAAAGTTCAAAAAGTTTGAATATTAAAGAATTGGAGGGGGGATAAATGAATGAGGAATAAATTGTCATAAATCTAGAAAAACCAAACAATACATTAAAATTTACAAATTTGATTAGAGCAAGACATTGCTTAATTACACCAGAGTCTAAGCAGTGAAGTTCTTTGTTTGTGGGATACTTGTGCTTTTGATGAAATCAAAGGGAAGTCAGTCACTGCCCCTAAAAGACATATTCGTGTAGTATGATCACTGGGCTTATTATTAAGTAGTCAGTGGGAAACAAGAAATTTTCCCAATACTTTGCACTTGACTTAAGATATCTTATTCATTTGAATTAAGGTATTTTTATTCCAAAATTAGGATGTAATTTGTGGAATTACATTATAAATAATGTGGTTTTCACCCACAATTCACGGCTCATATCTCTCCCCAAAGCAGTTCACAGCCACTGAGTTGGTCAGCTTTCCATTGCTGTTGCAAAATACCTGAGACAAACAACGTTAAAGGGGAAATGCTTTATTTAGCTTGTAGTTTCAGAAATTTCAGTCCATGGCTGGTGGATCTATCACTTTAGACCTGTGGTGAGCTCTCTCATGGCAGAGAGCACAAAGTGAAGCAAAGCTGCTCACAACATGGCAACTGGAAAGTGCAAGAGACACAGAGGAAGAGGCAGAGTTCAATATTCCTTTCAAGGGCGTGCTTCAAATGATACTTCCTTCCACCAGGCCCCAGCTCCAAAAGACTACACCACCTTCAAATGTCACCACAGGCTGGGGACAAAACTTTTAACACATGGCCTTTGGTGTCCTAGATGTTGGTACCTCCAGCAAAGCTCATTCCTCTTCCTCCTTTCCTCACCCTGTGCATCTGTTCACTTGTGTCCTTTGTAGTATCCTTCTTCTAAAGTACAATAGAAACCCTCCACATTCCAGAGGACCCTGCCCTATACCTGCAAGGAAGGAATGCTTAGGAATCTCAACAAACAGGCCTTACTGGGTTTCCCCAACCAATCTGCTAGCACTTGACCAACATCCTTACTTGAGGCTCATTTCAATTCAATTGTTCATGCTTCAATTTACCTACACAAGAAGTCTCTACAGATGTATAAAAAGAACAGGGTTCTAAGAGCTCTGGACACCTGAACAGGTAGAGCCTCCTAGAACTTGGTGCATCCAGTAAAGGCAAAGAAGGCTCCTTTCCCTTCCACCTTTGTTCACCTGTGTGTCTCTTCATCTGTATCATTTCAAATATCCATTATAATCGACCAGAAAATATAAGCATACATTTCTCTGAGTTCTAGTTAATTGAACCTGACGAGTGGTTTGTTGGAATCTCTGATTAGCAACTGGTTACTCAGGAGCTCAGGTAAGACAACCTGGTGATTGAGTCTGGCATGAAAGTTATGAGTGGCACTCTTGGGACCCTGCCTTGTCCTTGTGGGATCTGACATTGTCTGCTGATAGAAAATGTTACAGATGACTTGGGTTGAGGTCATCCATCTGTGTCAACTATAGAACTGATTCCTTGCTGGCTGCTGGGGAAAAATCCACACACATTTTAGTCCACAAGACTGATCTGTACTGTGGGATTAGTGGGAAAAATAGTTTTCAGTAGGCTTTTCACTCAGTGTCATCACAAGGTATCCCAGTTAACCTGTACCCATTGGAATTCTCTGTTCACCCCTCTCCAGGGTCTCCCTGTCAGTGTACCTGCTGAACACGCACGGTGTTCTGATTCCTGCATTGGCCATGACTGGGTGGAGCTGCCTGGTGACAGGAGCGGGAGGGTTTCTGGGCCAGAAAATTGTCCACTTGTTGGTGGAGGAGAAGGAACTTCAGGAGGTCAGGGCCTTGGACAAAGTCTTCAGTCCGGAAACCAAGGACAAATTCGCTAGTAAGTAAACTGGAGGCTTGTGTGTGTGGTTCATTCTGAACCATGCTATGCTGGGAAGGGGTCTTTGTCTAGGAAATAAAGGACACTTGGAACTATAAGGTTTCTCTTATGGCCACACTTACCGGGAGGAATCAGGGACAGCACAGTATAAAAGATAAAACACAGCTGATGGGAGACTCGATTCTGGTCTAATCTTTGTCCTACAGAGGGTGGCCATAGACAGCCACTGGGTCTCCAAGACTCTTTCCTTCCTATGTAGAAATCACATATTCTTCTCCCCTTTGTCTACAGCTCTTTAATGTGCTGAGACTTGGACTTGCCTATTGCTAGGCAGTGTCTGCTGGAGCTCAGCGGTGGGTCCCTGTACCTCCTGATTGCCCTGTATCTGGATATTTGGTTGTTTTACTTTGCTGTGGTTTAGTTGGGGTGGGAAGCAAGAGTTCGTTTAGTCTCATCAGTGAAGATGAAATAAAAGGAACTGTCTGTAAGGAAAAGGGAAAGGTGAATGTGTGTGTGTGTGTGTGTGAGAGAGAGAGAGAGAGAGAGAGAGAGAGAGAGAGAAAGAGAGAGAGAGAGAGAGAGAGAGAGAGAGAGTAGTAGTAGTAGTAGATCATATTCACAAGGCACAGTGCAGAGCAGACAACGTGAAAGCTAGAATGTCTCCCCTCGATTACTCCTACATCTTTCCCACCATTCCTCTGTGCAATTCATCCCTACAAAAATGTGACTATAGAATTTACTGGAGCAACCTGTTATTCTTTTCCCAAATTACTGCCACTGGTGAAAATATAACAAAGGACTGAAAGTCCATTTCCCACCTGCTTAATCCCCAGATCCTAAGAAAGAAAGAAGAAAGAGAGAGGGAGGGAGGGAAGGAAGGAAGGAAGGAAGGAAGGAAGGAAGGAAGGAAGGAACGAACAAAGGAACAAAGGAAGGGAGAAAAGAAAAACTATAATGATGGTAGAAGAAAAGGCTGACCCATCTGACAGTGAAGATTTTGAGATCCAGAAAAAGGAGGTGACTGGCCAAAAGTCGTCTAATCAATGGAGTGCAGATCTCAGATTAAAGCTGATCACTGGCACCCCTTCCTTGGTCCCACACCTGACTCTCAGTCCAGAGATCCTCATCTCCAGAACAGGAGCATTGGATATCTACCATGGTGTATGCTCCACTGCCCAGAGGACCCTTCCCTACACAGAAGTTCCTCCATAGCATCCAAGGACTACACCCTTCCTCTGCTCTGCTTCTCTCAGATCTCTTCCAATGCCCAGTTTCCTCCCTCTTCTTCAATAGCATCTCTGATAACCAAATATTAACATATGAACCATATTAATTGTAATCCTAATATCTCAGTAGTATATGCAAACATGTTGCTGATGTTGCACAAGGACTCACAGGTGGATAAGGCAAAGTGGGGTTGAGCCTAGAAGGCCTTTTGCCTCTGTATGCTTAACGACTAGTTTTTCTAGTATCATCTCTCTGGGCCTTCTATTGAAGAAGTTCACACCCTAACAACAACTCCATGATATGTTTGTGCAAAACACTTGCCAAATTCCCCATGTCTTGTTCAAGGCAAGAGCTATGGCTCCACCATGAGTGCTCCCTGCTGGGTTCCTCAAGAGCTTATGGATAAAAGCCAATTTGCTCAGAGTCTGAACCTTTCCTGCCTTGTCACAAAAAAATCCTCTAAGCGGTCAGCAGCAAAGGAGAGGCAGAGAAAAGGAGGAAGAGGCTGAGGTGCACAATAAGAGAAATCCACTCTCAGGCCAGTACCCAACTGCATCGCAGCAGCTTTTTCCCTGCCATCCTGCTCTTAGGGCCTTCATGAAGTTGCCTCACAAGGGGAAGGCCCGGAGAAGACAACACTCAGCAGAGGATTGTTCTACTTGTGCCTGAGAGGGATTTCTCCAGCCCTGATTGTCTCCCACACTTCTTTGTCTTCATTGCCAAGTTCAGTTCAATTGACTTATCCTTACTCTGTCTCAGAAAAGTTGATTCCAAACAACCAGATCTGCCCTTGGAGTGCAGAGGAAAGTAAGCAAGGGTTTCAGGCAGAGAATGATAGAGCCTCTACCAGAAGTGTGTTCATACACCTGTCCCTAAACCTCCCTTTCCTCAACCTTACAGGTGATCCGAATTCCTTTGTCATGGAGTCCTTGAGAAAGGAAATAGCAAACTCTGAAAGCTGTGTGCAATCTATGAAGCATAAGCAAGTGTAGGGTACTGATGCAGATGGCATGAACCCTATGCTGATTTTGTTAGCTCATTGAGATAATGACCACATAGGCAGTGTCACCCTGTGGGTGACAGAAGACCTTGAATATCTGTATGGTATCCACCGCTCTGGGCCCAGTGGCTGATAGGAAGTACGTTGCAGCTGACTCATTTGAAGCACTGATGTCTGGTTTTGAGGATAACTGATATCTGAGAAGAGATGTTCAGATAAATCCATCCTTGCAGCCATTCTAAATTCCCCATCAATGACTCCACTCTATTTCTAGTCAACCCAAGCAATGTCCATTAAGGGCTGAAGTTAGCTCCTCCTGTTGTGCTCAGTACAGATCCAGTAAATACCATGACCTGTTGGGGAAGGCTGTGTGCTGCCCTCCTCTGCTCCCACTTCAGGGTTCTGGGGCCTTCCCAGAACCCTAGCACAGACAGGCTCATAACTCTCAGGCTTACCCTGCTTTCTCTAACAACCCCAACACATGTACAATTAATATCCTGACATCACTGATAGTCCCCTATGCCACAGCTCTGCCTCTTGTTCTCTTCAAATCCAGATCCAGATGTGATTGCTCATTCCCTACAGGACTAATTCTAATTCCACGCTTTTACAGCCAACTTTCCACACCTTCCCCCTGTCCTTAATGAATTTGATGAACATCCCATGACTCTCTGTAGTGACTTTTATGTTCCAGGCATGTAGCAGAACTCACTGCTTAGATTTATTTTTCTGAAATGGGATGGAGTAGAAATGGTTTCTTGTTCTTGTGAAAAAAATGCTACACATTCTGATTTCTGTGCCTTTGTTTGCTTGGTCCTTCTACCTACTATGGTGGTCCTTGAAGAACTAGATATCTGTCACCTGTATGAGGAATGTTCTCAATCTATCCATAAATTTTCACAATGTCTGCCTTGTGTTCTCACAGAGCTGCAGACAAAGGCCAAGGTGACAGTGCTGGAAGGAGACATTCTGGATGTTCAGTGCCTGAAGAGAGCCTGTCAGGGAGTCTCAGTTGTCATCCACACTGCCTCTGTCATTGATGTCTCAGGCATCATTCCTAGAAAGATCATCATGGATGTCAACCTGAAAGGTAGAGTACCTGGGGAAGAAAGGGAGCAACTGATAAGATAGAGGATGGAAAAACAGGATGAAGAGGAGAAAAGGAACCCCACCATGGAGCACCTGCTGTCCTCAGGGCCTTGGTCTCCAGTCCTAGCTGACACAATACAGGGCTGTTTCAGTGTTATAGATGAGGAAATCAGAGCTGAGAAAGGACAAGGTACATGCCCAAGGCCTCACAGGGACTCAATGAGAGAGTCAGGATTTAAACTCACACCTGTGTCACTCCAACTTCCAAAAAATCTCTTTCTCTTGCTTCTCCATCCCAAAGTTGACTAGACTCTGACACTAAATCCTTAATGTCCGTTCACCCCCTTGGTCAGACCAGAAACTGCAGGAGCCTCTTCAGCATGATTTTAGCAACTGCCTCAGGGCTGATAGAATATCTAGAGCCTTCCTGCTCACCTGAAGGAAGGAATCCTCTCCAGAGGCCTAGCAAAGCTGCTCCACAGAGGCCTGCAGGAAGAATCATCCAGCACTTGCCTTCCCACAGGAATTGCCTCCCATTGACCAGGATACTATCTGTTTACCACTGGGTCTAGTCTTGAGGAGCTGGTTCCAGCCAGCTGCCCTAAGTCATCAGCCCTCAGTTCCTCATCCCTAATGCTTGGTGGTACTTTCTGTATTGCACATATGCAGTGTAATTTAAATATAGATACACTTAGCTCAAAGAAGTTTGCCATGCAACATCATCATTCTGACCTCCAAGGCCCTTCTCTCAAGCACCTCTGCTTCCCCAGGCCTGTGTTGACCTCCAATTTAGTGACTCAGAGATTCCTTTTTTAAAGCAACCAATTGCTTGTGGGTCTCTAGCAGCATCTCAGTAAAAAGTCTTTCTAGCTTCAACTTCAACACATTTCTCACACCTTCTCACACTGCAGGACAGTGGCTTAAGAACCTCATTTTTCATTCATGCCGTGGAAGGTCTACCTGCTGTATTTCTCAACAAGAGATAATATGAGATAAAAGGAACAGTGTGGGAGAAATTGTTTCACTAAAACATTGTCACAGGTTAATGATGGTCATCTCCGCCCTGCTGAAAATAAGTCCAATATTTCTTGGCCACTATATTTGCCTTAAAACAAAATAATCAAAATGGGTTTCCAGAAAATCAAATTTTAAATGGCCTTTAAATGGTCAAATACATAAAAATAACTGAACAAATAAATAAACTGTCCTTTGCCTAGGATATTCCTCCCTAAGAGGTGTTCTACATTTCCTCCCTGACCTACAGGTCTACACTGCTCCAGAGAGGTTCTGAACTCCAACATTATAGGTTTTCCCTATAATGTTCTTTTTAGTTCTACTAAAAACATTCTACTTTTTAGAAAGAACATTCTACTTTTTAGTTCTTCACCTGACTCAATAGAACAGAACAGTGCAGCGCTCTGGGATGCAAACTAGAAGTTCTTATCACCCTTACTGTTCATGACTGGGTAAATGGAAGCAGATAAAGAACCACCAGGAATAGCTTCATAGAGAACACACAATCAGAAACAAGGCTGGGTCTCCAACATTATAGTGACACAAAGAATAGTCTTATGCAAAAGGTTTCATTGATCCTCACTAAATCAGAAAAATGAAAGCACAATAATAAGCATTTAAAATAAGCATTGCCAATGTACAATTGTGTATGAGTTTGTGTAATATGAGTTCCCCAAATTTCCTTGAAAGTATGGCCAGAAAGATTATTTTTTTTAAATAAATGACCTATCTTTAATGAAATAATATGCATGACAAATAATACTTGTAATAACTACATTGAAAAAATGCATACTAAAATCTACATTCTTTCCCCAAATCAAAGTACATGTGCAAAATCACAATACACATTCACACACACACACACACACACACACAAACACACACACATGCAGAAATACACAAGACTAGGAAGCCCTAAAGATTAGAAATTCTTGGCTTCTAGAAAGCAAATATCAGTCTTTTTTGCATTACTCCTAGACTGTAATGTGGTACATCTCAGTCAGGACAGGGAAGAATGCACTCAGATCAATAATAATTCCCCCATTGAATGGGGGATGGAAATGAACATGTATCTGGACCACGGTGGACCCTCTGGCTAATATTCTGACACTGATAGTGTGCATCCCATTGGCAGGTACCCAGCTCCTGTTGGAAGCCTGTGTCCAAGCTAGTGTGCCCACCCTCATCTACACTAGCACAGTGGACGTAGCAGGGCCCAACTCCTACAAGGAGGTCATCCAGGATGGCCACGAGGAAGAGCATCATGAAAGTACATGGTCTGATCCATACCCATACAGCAAAAAGCTGGCTGAGAAGGCAGTGCTGGCAGCCAACGGGTGCACTCTAAAAAATGGGGGCATCTTGTATACTTGTGCCTTAAGGTCCATGTTCATCTATGGGGAAGAAAGCAAATTCCTTACTAGCACTGTGAATAAGGCCCTCAAGAACAATGGCATCATAGAGAAGACAGGTTGGTTCTCTATGGTCAACCCAGTCTATGTGGGCAACGTGGCCTGGGCTCACATTCTGGCCTCCAGGAGCCTGCGGGACCCCAAGAAAGCACCAAGCATCCGAGGACAGTTCTACTACATCTCAGATGATACTCCTCATCAAAGCTATAATACCTTAAATTATAACCTGTGCAAGGATTGGGGCCTCTGCCTTGATTCCAGTCCAAACCCCCCTCTGTTTCTGATGTACTGGCTGGCCTTCCTGCTGGAAACAGTGAGCTTCCTGCTGAGCCCAATTTACAAATATCGACCCCCCTTTACCCGCCACTTACTGACATTGTCAAATAGTGTGTACATCTTCTCCTATAAGAAAGCTCAGCGAGACCTGGGGTATGAGCCACGCTTTAGCTGGGAGGAAGCCAAGCAGAAAACCATAGAGTGGGTTGGTACATTACTGGAGCAGCACAAGGGGTCTCTAAAGACAAAGACTCAATGATATGAAGGTGACCAGACCACATTTGTCCCTCTCCTCCAGCTAGCTACCTCCAGAAAGGGACAGACACACAAGCCCTACACCTACTTCTCCTTTGGCACAATGGCTTACTTATTGTCCTCATGATCTACCAGAAGACTTCCCAATCATGAGCCCTACCAAAAGCTTCCTGTACCTACCACCACCCAAGGACAGAGGAACAATTGTGCTTCAGCTGCTGTACCCACCTCTTAGGAGGTGGTTCAGAGCAACCCAGGGCTTCTTGTCACTTAAAACTTTGGTTCTTGATTGCATTTCCCTTTTCAATGGCTAAAGCACTTCTCTTCCCTCTTCTGCACAGAGTTCTAAGAGAACAGCAATAAATGTTTTAATGCCTAATCTGGAGAAGCGTTCTTTGTTAATATACTTTCCTGTTTTCCCATCCATATCCAGGTATGGCCAACTCCAGGTCACAAAAACCACATGGGGGGGACACAGTGGTGGTAGGTCCAAGAGGGGAACATGAGACTGGCTCCAACCTACCCAGCTTCAGGTGTGCACTACAAGACTGACATAGACCACCCATATCATCCCCACCAGATCACAGGAAGGCAGAGATTCCTGTTCTCACATCATGGATGAGGAATCTTGCTCTCCACCTCACTGACTGGTGACATAGCATGGCTGACCCACTAGGGAGACTGATGTGAAAGCCTCATCTTCCCACAGAATCCTGCGGCCTGCACTGGTTTGTCAGTGTGAAAGCGGGGTGCTCTTTCCTGGCAGACTCCAACTTCCTTCCTTACCTGTCCTGCCCAGTCCTGCACAGGATGCCCTCTAGAACTAGGAGAATTCTGAGGGACACCTGAGAGTCCTCGGTTCCTTAATGTATGGTCCAAGCCAGTAGACGGAGCAGCAAAGATGCTGCCAGCCTTTACCGCTGATGTCAGTAGTCTTTAAGGTTCTAGAAAACACGGGGACATGAATGTGTTAGACATTCTGGTCATTCATAAGCTTGTGTTTTAGCAATTGAATTCACACAATAGCCCATGAAGACTAGCTGGGAAAGTAAATGTGACAGGTCTGATTCCTCCCTAAATTTTATCTCTACTCAGCCTGAAATCTAGAAATCTCTATCTTCAATTCCAGATTTAATTGCTTCTCTCCTCTTCTTCTACCTTCTTCCTTCTCTCTTATGTCTCATCTCTCTACTTCTTTTCTATTTTCACCATAATTATTAATGCACATTAATTTACATGTTAATGGGTTTAACTATGACATTTCATGTTCTTTTCCTTTATTCTCCTGTCTTCTTAGTGTCTTTCTTTTCCCTCCATCTTCCTCTCTCACCTTTCTCAATTGCCCTGATGAGAGGAGGATGGTCAAGACAGGATTGGGGAAAGAGGGAAAGGAAAAGAAAATGATAGAGCATCAATAATATCTTAAAACATTACGAAGGGAGAAGATATAAGGATATGTTGAATAATGGAGGGTGGAAGGTAAAGGAGTAAGGAGAGCAATGGACAGGGTTGAATGGACCAAAGTAGAGTATACCCACAGTGGGGATACATTGAGAAGCCCCTTTAAACATCAACTTAAGTACTAAGAATGAAAGCCAGGACTGTAAAATAGGTACAATGTGTCAAGGGAGGTACTAGTGGGAGGCAGGATAGTGAATGAAGAAGATTAAAGTGAGGATGTATGGTTGATGGACTTCATATACCTACATGAAATAGAAGAAAGAAACCTCTTGCAATTGCTTTAAGTGGGACAGGGAGGGAGTTGAGGGGGAGAGACGATAGGGGAGATGTAACTAAAGTACAATATAAGCCTAATCAGAATGTCGCTATGAATTCCCCCTGTAAACAAACATGTCCTAATAAAATTTTTTTTTAAAAGTCAGGATTGGGGACTAAATGCTGATGTAGTCATTAAACAGTTAAAGAACGAACACTGGAAAAGTCTGTCAGGTCCAAAGGGACAGAGGCAAACAGTAGCAGGTACAGGGATTGCAGTATGAGCTGGAGGAAGCTCCCTGACACTGTACCTGAGCATTATCTCTCTATATGTTGGTATCACAGACAGCACAAGAGTCTCACTTGGCTTCCAGACTTCTTTTGTCTTCTTTCTCACTCCATATTCAGTAACCTTTATAGGAGGCCATTTGTTTGGAAAGAGCACTTGGCTTAAGATACCAATCCAATGTGGCGACTCTCGTGCCAAATTTCCATACCTCAAGCAAAACAGAAGGTATTTATCTGACCTCCAACACATTAGGACAGAGAGACAGAAGACACATTCTGAAGCCAGCCACTTATACCCAGCAGGTCGAGGAAGTCCACTCTGCCTTAACATTTATAAGAAACTAACCCTGCACCAGGCAGTCACAGCTCCTACACACAAGTCCAGTGTACCACATGGGACACACCATGTTGGTAAAGATTCAAAGAGACCAACACAGCCTGCCTTCTCTCTTTCAACTCTCCCTACCCTTTCTTCTGCCTAGGGGACTCTGCGGTTGTATGGTAAAGGAACAAGGGAAAGCACAGAAGATCTCAGCCACTGGTTAATGTGCAGTATGTAGAAGCACAGAGCAGCTGAAGGAGCTGTATCAGAGAACAGGTGGACTTGGGGAGTGGAGCAAGGTGGGTCCATGCATGGGGAACAGCCTAAGAGGTGGTACAGAGGAGAGGGTGAGTGTGCAGAGCGTCGAAGGACAGTGAAGTGACTGGACACCAGGTGAGCAGAAATTACTAGGGAAAAATTACTGCAGGTGCTAAACAGAGCTATGATTAAGACAAGAGTGACCCATTTGGAGCAGCCAGCATAATGTCTTGGTCAAGGCAGGCAGGATAGAGTGTCAATTTTATGATTAACCATTAATATGTAAATACTGAATGCTAATTTTAAACTTCAAGTAACAGAGCAAAAATCAGAGCCAAGTAGGGGTGAATAGGCCAGTGCTCCAAATGCATTGGTACAAAATCTTATTAATTAACAGAATGGCAGGGAAGTAACAGTGGTTCATCTGTGCCTTTTTGATCATAGGTCCCAAATATACATTATCATATTTTAAACTTTCTGCATGTTGATAGAGGGTGTCATTTTTAAAATAAATATAATCGAATGGGAAAATAAATGTACAAACTAAAAAAAACAAATCTGCCTGCTGGAACGAGGCCCCTACACTTCACTTTTTCATCTCTGCTCCTGTCTTATTTGTGGTATACTGGAGAGACAAAATGTAAGAAATAGTAGGTGCTGTACACAGGGAGATTTCCCTAGTGTCCTGAGAATGGTAAATATTTTGGGAGTATCCTCTCAGATAGGATTCAGTGGACCCTTGCATTTGGGCTGAATGTTAAACATGGGCAGGATTCCACAAGTAGAAATGGGAGGAATGTGTTCCTGGCTGAAAGGCATGAGGCCCCGGACCTGGACCTTAGATTTTCCAGGGAGACACTCCATCGCCTTCATTCTTCCCCTTGGTGAAGGATATTAATGAGGAGAACACTTTGAATGAGAAAGGAGGAAGGAATTCATGACTTCAAGATGTCAATGAATCTGAACAAGTTAAGTCAAAATTATGAGAATCAGGAAACAGAGGCTGTGCCGAAATCAAGTGGTAGGAACTGAATTTATTTACACTATATCTAGAGGACAGAATGAGTTAGGGAGTGGGAGACGGAGGGAGGAAAAAGAACACGAAAAGGAAAACACAAGACTTCAAGAAAGGCAAAGACCAGCTGCAAAGATTCTAAGGGGAAAGGAAATCAGGTAAAATACTGAAACAATGTTATGGCCACTGAATTTTTATACTACAGAAATAAAAATTTCTTCTTTAAAAACTGAAACCCTCATTGGTAGAAACAACATAGTAAAAATGGCTATACTCCCAAAAGTAATCTACATGTTTAATGCAATTCCCATCAAAATTCCAATGACATTCATTAAAGAGATTGAAAAATCTACCGCTAAATTTATATGGAAACACAAGAGGCCACAAATAGCCAAGGCAATACTCAGTAAAAAGAATAACTCTGGAGGTATCACGATACCCAACTACAAACTACATTACAAAGCAATACAATAAAAACAGCATGGTACTGGCACAAAAACAGACATGAAAACCAGTGGAGCAAAATAGAGGATCCAGATATGAAGCCAAACAACTATAACCAACTTGTCTTTGACAAAGGAGCTAAAAATATACGATGGAGAAAAGACAAGCCTCTTCAACAAAAACTGCTGGGAAAACTGGTTAGCAGTCTGCAAAAAACTGAAACTTGATCCATGTATATCACCCTATACCAATATTAACTCAAAATGGATAAAGGATCTTAATATCAGACCCCAAACTCTAAAGTTGGTACAGGAAAGAGTAGGAAATACTCTGGAATTAATAGGTATAGGCAAGAACTTTCTCTACGAAACCCCAGCAGCACAGCTACTAAGAGATAGCATAGATAAATGGGACCTCACAAAACTAAAAAGCTTCTGTTCATCCAAAGAAATGGTCTCTAAACTGAAGAGAACACCTACAGAGTGGGAGAAAATATTTGCCAACTATACATCAGACAAAGGACTGATAACCAGAATATATAGGGAACCTAAAAAACTAAATTCTCCCAAAATTAATGAACCAATAAAGAAATGGGCACGTGAACTAAACAGAACTTTCTCAAAAGAAGAAATTCAAATGGTCAAAAAACACAAGAAAAAATGCCCACCACCTCTAGCAATAAAGGAAAGGCAAATCAAAATCACACTAAGATTCCACCTCACCCCTGTTAGAATAGCCATCATTAGCAACACCACCACCAACAGGTATTCGCGAGGATGCAGGGAAAAAGGAACCCTCTTACACTATTGGTGGGAATATAAACTAGTACAACCACTCTGGAAAAAAATTTGGAGGCTACTTAAAAAGCTAAACATTGATCTACCATTTGATCCAGCAATACCACTCTTGGGGATATACCCAGAAGACTGTGACACAGGTTACTCCAGAGGCACCTGCACAC